GTCTGTGATGCATGTTTGCTATTCGCAGTCCAGAAGAGAAAGAGAGAGATCTCTCACGCGGTGCCACAGCGCGCACAACACGACAGCCCATCAGCATGATCGGTGATTGTTGTAAAATGCAGTCTCTACTGTTGCTAAATTGCGGGACGCTTTTAATAATAAAAAAAGCTATTAAAAGCACAAAAATCTGCGCAAGAGAAGCTGTTCCCGCGTCGCGCGCTCCGAAACAGACCGCAACGAGACAAGCACATTATACTTTGGGCTTCATATGCACGTCTAAACGATCAAATGTAGCCTACACAAAAATGTCAAAATGACCGGCTTGGAGATTCACTTAAACAGTTTGTCTAAAATGGACGTAGTTATGGAAATAGTTGGGAGAAAATATGGTGCACTCGTTCTTAAAGGGGAAGCAGTCTAATAAACATGCTGACGATTGCTCCATTACTGAGAATCAAACAACAAAAGGCAAAGAGAAAATCACTCCCAGCTATTGAATGAATAACTTTAGCTTTAATAAGCATAAATCTATCTATGATAAACTTTGCAGTGCTATTTTACTTTTGATTACTTTATTATAATTATTTTTAGACCATACCTGAATAATGTTAGTAGACCTTCCTGAAATTAAAGCACTGTGTAGGCCTGTATAATGTGTATCTTTGTTTAATTGTCTATCTTTTGTTTATCTATTGTTTAATATATATATATATATATATATATATATATATATATATATATTGACATACATGCATACATACGTACATATCATACTTGCCTGTAGAGAGGAGTTTATTTCAGCTGCATCATATAAAATCAACAATAATGATAATAATAATATTAAAGCAAACACAGCTCTGGTATCGGAAAAGTATCGGTATCGGCCGATATCCAAATTCAGGTATCGGGATCGGATCGGAAGTGAAAAAATGTGGATCGGTGCATCCCTACTTATTATATGCCCCCATTACTAGCGTTATACGCTAAACAGTTTTTAGAGATAAAACTCTTTACATTCGATTATCATGAAAACAAATCTCAGAGAACGGTTGACTAGGTACCAATGTTTTATTAGACCAAAGGTTCATTTTGCGCCGGAGTTCTCCTTTAAGTTACAATTAAAGTTAGTGAGTCCATGCTAACGTAGAAACCTAAATAGCTAACTGTTCTCACGTCATGTACTGTGTAGGTCAAAAACACCCGATGGCTCAAAAACAGCCACCTGCGATCGTGACGACCGTAACATGAGGCTTCTCCTGCTAGCATTGTGATCTGTAAACCCTCGCTTCCAAATTAACCGTGTTACGTACCTTTTTTTTTTTTTACAATCTTTTATATCCCTCCATGGCATATTTAAGTCCCACTTGAATGCTCCTCAACAAGAGGTGGTACTTCTGTGTCCAAAATTGATCAAAAACATCTTGGGACAAGGTTTTCACATGGACAGCTGTCATTGTTAGACAGTTAGCAACTCCATTTGTTTGTTCGAGATAGCATCAGTAATTAAAGGGGGGCGGGGCTTACCATTTGATTACCGATCAATTGTGCGACAGGTAGGCCTATGATTCAGTTTACGGCACTTCTCATTCATTTCTATGGTATCCGCAAACAGTCCCTGCGTCTCAATGTCCATACTATCCATCCTAAACTGTAGCCTATGTGAGATTAAAATCAGTGTGTCCCAAAGCATAGTATGTTGAAAAGAGTGTGCCAGAAGTCCTCGGATGGTCTACTATTTCCGGTGGATTTTCGATGTGGATCTGTGCTCACTATAACGGCTAATATTGCCCACAACCCATTGAGCTTTGGTGGAGGAACTAAAAACACGAGAAAAAAAGTGTTAAAAAACTACAAAACATGGCGGATATGCGTGACCGACGGTGAGAGGTTCAGATAAAGATTTAAGTGACTAATCAAAGTTTAACCTGATAAAAAATATATTTATTTAATGTTATCCGTGTTATATTTCATCTGCAATAACAATATGGACTTTTATAAAAGATCCGTTTGGCCATTAAATTTTAAATGCATCATTATGCATTAATATGAGGAGAGTCTACGCATGAAAGGCTGATTAGAGCTGGAGCTAAACTCTTCAGGAAAATGGACCTCGAGCTGAGTTTAGTACCCCTGAGCTACAGTATGTTGTTCCATGCACCACCTGGTGGATTTTGTACAACAAATTAGAAGAATTTTTTTCTACTGGCCAATTATAATTCTACTGTTGCTATTATAAAGAGCAAATCTTTGACAGATAAACTTATCTGATTGACAGTTAAACCACATGATCTTAGCAAGGCTCAAAATTGCGACCATTTTGGTCGCATATCTGCTCCCGAATCGGTCCGATCTCAATTTATTTGGGAACATTTATGCAAGTGCAAATAATAGTTGTGGTGCAACCTTTTTTCTAGAGATGCACCGGTCGACCGGCCATAAATCGGTGGGAGTTTATATGAATACATTTCTGAAGGGAACTATGTGTCTTCAGAATAGTTTAAACTAAAGCCTTTTCTTTTCCTCTTACCTCCGTATAAAGTAGTGTTTATAAGCACAGCTGCTTTGTTTACAGCGGTACCCAAAAAAATGTCTCTTTTCCATAAGTGCCATGTCAGAGAGTGAATTTGTATTTTCATTCATTTAGGGTACGTTTACACGACAACGATATACTTAAAACGGAGAAGTTTTTTTGAGTTTTCCGCGTACAGACTCATCATCAAAACGATCCCCGTTCAGATGTATCCCTGAAAACAACAAAAAACGCTGTATTCTGCTGCCAGGCCATTAGATGGCGATGAAACACTATAGACTGAACATTTATACGCATGTGCATGACGTCATCTTCTTCTGAGATTCATGTTTTTGTTGTTTACACAGAGACTGTTTTCAAAAACTTGCACTTTGAAACCCGTTTTCAAAAGTTTGTGTTTTCAGGCACCCAAAACACAGTTGTCCTGTAAATGGACGTTTTTAGTTTAAAACTGTGTCGTGTAAACAGCCCCTTAGTCTGTCTGTTTTTGTTTTGTGCAGGTGTGTCTTCGACAAAACTAAAGTCAGACCATTATGTATATGTATTTGAAATTATGCAATCTAAAAATCAAAAACATCTGCTCATGCCACATGTTTGTAGCATCTTTGTTTGGATCATGATTAAAGTGGTTGCCTCTAATTTCAAATGGCTACAGAAATTTTTTTAAAGGCCAATTTGACCTGTTATAGAGCAAATAAACAACAAATAAATTTGTTTAATATATATATATATATATATATATATATATATATATATACAGGAATTGGTCATGAAAAATCATGATCGGTGCATCACAACTGTTTTCATTTCTCTACAAAATGTGTTGCTTTAAAGCTGCAGTCCATAGTTTATCCTCTTGTCGCCATCTCTGTTCGAAATCTGCAATTGCAGTTATTCGTGGAATTATCAATTTTACTTGGGTTGTGCCTTTACTTGAGCACAGCGCGGATGAATCCAATGTTATTAGGAGAATGTGTGGCTGTCAGTCACAGCGCCGGTGTGGATACTGTCATTCGGAATCACAGATTCTACTTTTTGGAAGTATGACCAACATAAGAATTTTCACCAGAAAATGTCATCTGAACAAGTAAGTAACATCCACTTTTGTTCTGACCAACTAAGGGGGAAAAAAGCATTGCAGTAAATCGTGCTGATTAAATCTAACGATCGCTTATCATATCACATCAAACCGTGCAAATTATACTTTGTTCTCAAGTTGTTAATGTTAACAACATCACCATTGCGTGACTACATTTAATGTGTATTAGTTTCCATTTCTGTGCAGTCTAATTTCTAATTGTCATACCAACAAATTAATGTTCCTTAGAACTGTTTCTCTTTGAAATACAAACACACGTATCTGTAATCAGATGCAAATTATTTGTATTATTCAATATTCCGATGCAAAGGGAAAAAGCCGTGTCTGCGTCCGTTTTGAACCCCTTCAAAACACCGAGTTCACGCCTTCCAAAAGCCCTTCAGATATTTATCCTTGTTTTTGCATGGGCCCAGTTGCAGTCTCTTTTTTTCTGTAGCCACTCCGAAGTATTTTGCATTTTACAACGGGTGAATCTCCAGTTGTCACTGGTGATTGTCGTTTGAACCTTTCTGGATCCACCATCAAATTGATAAGATAATTATATCAAGTTCTGTGAGAAAACATCCTCACACGCAATATAGCCTACTAGCCGAGACACCTTTATGTGTACAGATGTGACGTAATGACGCAAAGACATGCTCGAAGGCAAGAAGATAGTTTTGAACACTGGCTGATTATGTACTTGCTCAAAAATGTATTTTGGATAATTTTTAACCCAAAAAAAGTTACAGACTGCAAGCTTTAAATAAAATAAATCTTTTAATATACCATACATAAATTGTAGTTGTGGTGCTACTATATTTTTGCTGGTGCTCTTAACTTTTTTTAAGGTGGGCGCACCAGTGCTACCAAATAAAAAAGTTAATTTTGAGCCCTAATTGGAGTTTTATTGTTAATGTTGTGATTATTTATAGGTTAAGCAAAACAAATGTGTTTATGTCCTAAAAAAACTTTTTCTAATCGTAACATTACTCAACTGCAGAAACTGAACACACACTATGTACTTGAGTGCTCCTTATACTGTCCCTTAATTTCCTATAAAGAACCAAGATTGTCCCTTAATTTCCTTTGCTGAAGTTGGCAACCCTACATGTTTGTGTCATGTGTTCTATATCCAGTAATTTTACCTGTTATTTAATGTTTATGTCCCTCTGCTAGCCTGTGTTAATGGCGTGTTTATTAAATTTTATAAAGCGTTAATTGATAATCTATTATTATATGTTTAAGTTCTCCATATGTTGTGTATTATTAGCGTTTAAGTATATTTCTTGCTTTTGAAAATAACATTTAAAACATAAGCAGATCTTCAGCTAGCTTCTATCTGCTAAACTAGCTCGTGTGCCGTTTGTAAATAAGACATTAATCATTTACCTTTTGCTTTCTTGGTTGGATACAGTTTTTCTGCTTTGTAGAGGAATTTCAAAGCTTTGTCTTTATTGCCATCTTCGAGGACTTTAATAGCGATGTTTAAACATTTTTCAGCTTCATCCCGGTTTCCTTCCATCATTTTATCAGCTGACCGGACAAACAGCAGTTTGCGATTCAGAACAACACTTTCGCTTTCCAAGAAATACGACAATAAAATATCGTTATTTTACTATATATCATCCATATAATAATGTTTCAATGTACCACTGTGGCTACTGCGTATAAGGCGTTAAATAAATAAATAAATAAATAAATGTCATTATTTTTCATCATAGTATTATTTCATCATTTTTTAATGATACAATTAAGAGTAGCCTACTATTTTTTTTAAAATAGGTAGCTAAATTACAGCTTCAAGTTAATTATGCAGACAATAAGACAAATAAAGTCAAAATGAAGAATTTTCTTTTAAAAGTTGCCTTTTAATTATTAATATCACACTTAATAGGTTACAAATGTAGGTTGTTTAAAAGCATTAAGTGCACTGTAAAATCAAACAGTGATTCTAACTAACAGTTTTTAGTTATCTTTACTTAAAGGTGCAATGTGTAATAATTTTGAGTATCTATTAACAGAAATGCAATATGACATCCATATGTTTTCAGAGGTGTATAAAGAACTTACTTAATAAACCGTAATGTTTTTATTACCTTAGAATGAGACATTTATATCTACATAACCCCCTTCTATGAAGGTCGACATATTGTGACGTCATGTTTCTACCATAGCCGAACGCGAACACACAGCGCTACAGACCGCGTTTCGTCACTACCTTGAAAGAGAAGCCGCAGAAACCTAGAAGCTAGCCATAAACACCGTGAGTAGTGACTTTTTCCTTGTCAGTGGTGTAAAATATATAGTTGGACTGTTTCATGTAACTTAGTTCTTCTCCCTCGCTGTGTTATGGCTTTGCTGTGTGGGGATAAATGTGCTGGTTACGTTCGTGAGACAGCTGATTAGTACTCTTGTCATTGACCGTAAAACAATATCTTACAGGAATCACCAACCCGTCGATCGCGGTCGACAAGTCGAACTTGGAAGCATTTTAAGTCGATCGCGAAGAGTTTTCAAAATCAGAGAAAAAATCCTTTTGTGTGTAAATGGTGTCTAGGGGATGCGGAGGCGCGCACGCTGTTACAATCATGTCATTTTTGCCCCGCGCACCTTTGGGCTCATATCATGCGGACGCGTCGAGTTTAAACAAGGCTTTACGCTTTAACCACCTCAGCCACAGTAACAGCTCATATTTAGCCAGCTAAACTTTTACTACCCTGTTAGAAAACATATATAGTTGCATAGTTTCATGTGGTTCTTCTCCCTCGCTGTATTATGGGTTTGCTATGTGGGGAGAAATGTGCTGGTTACGTTTGTGAGACAATCAGCTGATTATTATATATTAAGACCCTTGATCCTCACCTGACTATGGCTTTGTGAACTTTATCCATGATGTGGTTTATAATGGACTGTGGTACAGAAACAGTGACAATGTTACACACTCTTGGCTTACTCTGGCTATTCTCTTGCTGTCTCCAGACGACAATATGTTTGTCCCGTTTTAGCCACCGCAGCTTCTTCGGAAGGGAGGGGTGAGCAGTGGGCTGAGCCCTTAGTGCAAACTCGCAACCGAACCGCTAGAAGTCGCTGAAAATCCCACACTGCACCTTTAATGTCTTAACTTAATTGTAAAAATCTAGTAATCTGTACTTTTCACATACTATGCTTTGTTTACTCAGAAAACCCAAGTAAAGATTAATTCATTGGTTTGAGTTTGGTTTTTGAGGCTGGGAAATTCTTAATGGACTTTTCACTCATTTCCTACTTCTGCAGTTATTTTTCTCTGTTTGCATTCACTAATTTCCCAAAGTCATCTTGAATGTTGAATTATCAATACAACTGAAAAATTTGAGAGAACATCACATAAGCTGACTTCATAAATTGATGTTTATTTTCCTAAAATGTTTTAGTCACCAGGGGCCTCATGTATCAATCTTGCGCAAGCACAAAAACTTTGCGTACGCCAGCTTTCACGCTCACGGTCGGATGTACTAACAGTGAAATTAACGCGAGAATATGCGTTCCTCCACGCCAATTTCATGTCTGGCGTACGTACATTTCTCATAGTTTTTGTCCGTTGGCGACTCTTACAGGCAATGAAGTCAAGTTGCAAACATTAAACAGCGAATTGTTCTACACGTCTATCGCACCACCACATGTGGGAAGCATTGCTATTAATTTGCAATTTATAAAATAATTATATAAGATCTATAATTCCGCTCGAAGGGGGTCTCGCCCAGGGTGTAATTCAGTGTAGAACCGCCACTGTTCGAGTCTGTTCCTTATTAATGGGAAAACGCCACTGATCTAATGACATATGAAGACTTCAGATGCAAAAGCCTCTAAGTCCGTCTAACGTTTTTCTTTAATATTAAATTTTTTATCAGGCTTATATAGGTTTCTACCCAAGTACCGACATTTCTGAATGGGCTGAGGCTGGGATTTAGTGAGTTTGAAGTGAAAGTATTTGATGAACGTATACTATGTGCGGAGAGCATTCACTCAATATTATTATCCCATTTTTGACATAGGTGGCTTTTAGAGGCTTTTGCATCGGAGGTCTTCATAATGTCATTCTATATCAGTGGTACACGCATTTGCCATAAATGCAATGGATACGTAAAATCTCTCCCACAGCAGCAGATATACTCCAGAGATTAAAGTGTTACCTCACCCATAATTGAGGCAACTCTCTGTTCAAAGGGTGTAAGTTCATCGACCCCTTTACCACTGCCTGTTCTGCCCACACTTTGTCGGTGCGCAGCAGTTCTACGTTTAACGTCCACCTTTATATCAGACCATTTCTATTTAAGATAATTTACAGTGCGACTTACAGATCCCACCGCATTGACGGCATCAGCCAAATTCGCACACTAAGGCCCAATCCCAATTCTACCCCTTTCCCCTTCGTCTACCCCTAACCCTTCCCCTTCCCCTACCCCTTGACCCTTGAAACAGAGTGGCAAGGTGAAGGGGTGAAAATATTCCCCTAAGAAATGGGACGCCACTACTACCTACACGGTTACACGTCATTATACGTCGTCGCTAGCGCCTACGTCACAGGAGATGCGCCGATGTTTATCACAAACTTCCAAGATGCTGTCGACAGCTGCAGTCATCTCAGTTGCATGGGTTACAGCTATTTTTTTGCATTTGTCTTGTGAAGCACAGTAACGTTTAACAGACTCACTCCCAAAGTTGTTTTGCCTTGTATTTGGACTTAAGGAAATGTTGCTCGTTGTCAACGCGAAAACGAATTATCTTCCGGGTTTCCTCATGCAGGTGTCCCTGTTTGATAAAGACCATACAAGACTGGTTGAACTGATCATATTGCAAAAAGCACGAAACTGTAAGCACTGTTCGTTTATATCGTGTTCACATATAACCACAAAAAAACAATGCGTTCATAGCAGATGTACTGTAAAATATAAGCCAATTCCCTTCCACAATTACATTCACCAGTTGACATGAAAATATGTTGCGGGACTATATCGTTAGCAAACTTCAGCCATGTTTTTTTTTACAAACATTTCTTTGAAGAAACTGACCGTAAATATGGGAAAAATAATCCAAGGATTATAATCCAAGGTTAATAATCCAAGGTTTTTATTTAACACCGTGGCTAGACTAACAAATAAACAGACATCGCCAGAGCAAAATATTCCGTTACAGTATAGTTGTAATGATTTTATGAATTACTTCAATGAGAAAATAGAAAGCATCCGAAACACAATTGTAAATGTACAATCCTCTATGGTGTCTTGTGATTCAGCCTCAATTATCGCCCCTCAAGAACAACTACACCGCTTTACAACTGTAGGACAGGAAGAGCTAAATAAACTTATCATTGCATCTAAACTAACAACATGTTTATTAGATCCAATACCCACTAAACTACTGAAAGAAGTGTTACATGTAGTGGAAGAGCCTCTTCTCAATATTATTAACTCGTCTTTATTCTTAGGTCATGTTCCAAAAATATTCAAGCTGGCAGTTATAAAACCTCTTATTAAGAAACCGCAATTAGATCAAAATAACTTAGCAAATTACAGACCCATTTCAAATCTTTCATTTATGTCTAAAATACTAGAAAAAATTGTGTCCGCTCAATTGTGCTCTTTCTTGCAAGAAAATAAGATATATGAAAAATTTCAGTCAGGATTCAGACCGCATCATAGCACAGAAACTGCGATAGTTAAAATTACAAATGATTTACTTTTAGCTTCTGACCAAGGCTGTATCTCAATACTAGTTCTACTCGATCTTAGCGCTGCGTTCGACACTATAGATCACAAAATACTCTTGGATCCACTACAAAACTACACTGGTGTTCAGGGACAGGCATTAAGCTGGTTCAGATCGTACTTATCAGACCGTTACCATTTTGTCTGTTTAAATGGGGAAAAATCGAAAATAATGTCAGTAGACTATGGAGTGCCGCAAGGATCGGTGTTAGGCCCTCTGCTATTCTCAATATATATGCTGCCACTTGGTAATATTATAAGAAAACATGGAATTAATTTCCACTGCTATGCTGATGACACTCAATTATATATTTCATCACGACCAGATGAAAACACTAACCTATCTAAATTGACAGAATGTCTTAAAGATATAAAATGCTGGATGACGTGTAATTTCCTGCTATTAAATCCAGATAAAACGGAGGTATTACTTATTGGTCCAAAAAACTACCCACAAAATCTCTTACAATACAACTTTAATTTAGAAGGATGTCCTGTTACCTTATCCACTACAGTAAAAGACCTGGGTGTTATACTAGACCGCAACTTGTCTTTCGAAAATCATATTTCATATGTTACAAGAACTGCCTTTTTCCACCTTAGAAACATTGCTAAATTACGTAACATGCTATCTGTTTCTGATGCAGAAAAGTTAGTTCATGCATTCATGACCTCGAGACTAGATTACTGTAATGCTTTATTAGCTGGTTGTCCTGCATCTTCAATAAACAAGCTACAGTTAGTGCAAAATGCAGCCGCTAGAGTTCTTACTAGGTCAAGAAAATATGATCATATAACACCGATTTTATCATCT